TTAATTCTACATTTTCATTCTTACCCTCAGTATTGGGTTGCTCATTCTGAGCCTTTTGCCTCACCATGTGAACCTCAGAATTATTGATTGGAATTTCATTTGTTCTGAAGATCTAGTTGGGAAGAATTAACCTCTTAGTGATGCTGTTTGAGTCTTTCTTTTCATGAACAGTTAGTAAGTCTCATCCATTTTCCTTATATAGATCTTTAACATATTTTGTTAAATATATGCTTAAGCATTCCATGTTGGAAAGTATTAAAGTAAATGGTATTTAATTTCAGCATCCTCTTGTTTGTGGCTGGTATATAGGAAAGGGAATGCCGTTTGTACACTAACCTTGTATCCTGTAGCTTTGCTGTAATCACTTATTCCAGAGTTTTTACACTTTTTTTTTTGGTACTAGGGATTGAACTCGGGGGCACTCAACTGCTGAGCCACATCCCCAGCCCTATTTTGTATTTTATTTAGAGACAGGGTCTCACTGAGTTGCTTATCGCCTCGTCATTGCTGAGGCTGGCTTTGAAATCAAGATCCTCCTGTCTGATTCTCTGAAGTCGCTGGGATCATAGGCATGTATCACTGTACCCAGCAGATTTTTGTACACTTTTGATTGTTTTTTTAAATTAGGTTTTCATATATTATCATGTTATTTTAAAACAAACATGGATTTATTATGTAAACATGCATGTATTATCCTTGATCACATTCGTGAACACTGGCAGTACAATGTTACCTTACAACCAAGCTTTCTGGTTTCTCACTGCTGAGGATGGCATAAATTATAGGCTGTTTTGTAGGTATGCTTTGTTAAGTTTAGGAAATTTTCTTCTATTCCTAGTTTACTGAGAATTCGTTTTTTAAACAGGTGAGTGTTGAATTTTTAAAATGCTTTAAGTGCAACTGTTGATATAGCCATGTAATTTTTCATCCTTGTCCTTTGTTTTAATTTATTGCATTAATTGGTATTTGAATTCTAACCCAGCCTTATGTATCTAGGCTATATCTCAGTTGGTCATGGTGTCTGATTGTTTTTATACATTATCAGATTGAATTTGCTAATGATTTTTTGAGAATTTTTGTTGAACCAGAAACTGGAAGTCCCCCTTACTCTCATTTGAAGAGAACCTTAATAATTTCAAATTCCTTAATAGGATATATAATGTCCAGAGGGTTTGCTATTGTCATTTCTTGGACTTTACTTTATTCTACTCACTATATTTCATTGTTCCCATTGTTAATTTGTGACTGTATTACAAGACATAAACCCAATGCAATCAATGATCTGATCTTCTGTTTTGTTAAATTTTATATCTCCAGTTAATGGTATAAACAATGAAATAAATAGATGTTATAAGGTTGTTTTAAAAAATGGATAAATAGATAAATAGCTAGTTACTATAACTACATGAATCTTGAAAAAATATCCCCAAAGAAATAATGAGATATAATTATCAGATAAATGGGAAAAAACTTGATCTGGCAGTGTGGTAATAAGTGATAAGTTCATCAGTTCATCTAAATGAACTGATGTATTATTTTTGCCAATTGTCACTCTGTCAATTTTCCCATGTTTCTGAAATATTTTTGGTACATTTTCTTGACCATAATAATATAATTAATCTATTGGCATGTTTACATGTATAAACTTGTGGGAATTCCCAGTGAAACTGATTAAGGAAGAATCGCTTTGGATGCATTCCAGTTGCAGGACTCCATGATGACTGTGGTTTCTGGTATAAAACCTACAGTGATCTTCATTCTTGTCAGGTAAAAAATGCTGTCCTTTTAAAGCCTGATATAATCACTTAAAAAGATGCTTCAGTAGGCTGAAAGCATGATCTACATGAATCACAATAATGCTCTCTGGTAGTTATTACTAACATTGCTGAAAGAGAACTTAAAGAGAAAATATTCCTTTTTTAAAAAAGCTAGTTGTTATCTTCCTACATGAACATGTGATTTGTTTACATTTTTGAGAAATTATGCTATTATGGAAGTTTTTACTTTTTGTATTCTCAACATGGAATTCCTTTGAAATCCATCTACAATGCTGGTGATGATTTTCTGCAAACCTTAGAAGACTCTGCTAACAATGGAAGACATAGATGTTATTTTAAATATATCAACAGGAATAATACAGACTTTTTCCTTCTGTGTGTATCCTGGGTTGAAAAGGGACTTCCAGCTCTTTACTAGTGAAGCAAAAAGTCATCATTCAAACTACAGACAAGATTCCAAAAGTAAGACTTTAACGATTGATAGAAAAAACTAGAATTTGAAATTGTGTGTAATTTTCAGTTCGTAGGAAATTATATCACTTGAATTTGCAAGAATTAAAATTGTGGGAAAAACTTCTGAAGGCAGATCATGGCTGATGAGTTCATAAATGAGAGTTGCCATGAATAAATTTAAAAATTAAAAGAATGAATTCTTCAACCATTTTCTATCCTCAAGATTTATGCTTCATCTGGAACAGTAGAAGTAACAAGGTAGTTTTGCTCAGTCAGCACCAAGATTGCATCCACTAAATACACACCCTGGTGCAGACTCAGCTTTAATGAGAATGTGGACACTCTGTGATGCCTGGAAGTTCACCTAATTAGGTTGATGTGACAGAAGGTAAGTGCTACCTACACACTAGTTGGTTGAATAAACAAATGAAAGATTGCATGTAGAGCAAACCTTTCTTCAATATATACCTTTATTTTAGAGCCAGTGCTCATCGTCTGGTTTCTGAAGTTAGAGTCTCCTAAGAAATGGATGGAAATACAGTGGTGGAAAATCATTAGGGATATTTGAGCACTAGTGGAAGACTTGAGCAGATGAGCATGAAGAATTGTAAGAGATGAATTTGGGCAGATGACAGAATTGTGTAATTTAAAGTCAGGGAGGTGATGAATATATATTGAGTGCGTGATAAAAATCTCCTGTAGCATTTTGAGAAAAGGAGTGATATGATCTGAAGAAGATTAAAAAGACAATTTGTTTTGTTTCGGGAAAATGGCTTGTTAAAATCAAAGATGAAAGTAGGTAGAATTGGCAAGTGGCTGTTGCAGTAGATCAGGGATGTAGTTGGTTGCAGTGAAAATGATCAGATTTACAGTATATCTACTACAAGGCAAGAGAGTTTGTTAAGCGTATGAATGAATGACATGAAAGGAATAATGAATGGATGTCTATTATGTGTCAAAAGGTCAGAATTGGGACTAAAAAGTTGAGTGGAAGGAGAAGCCATTTTATTAGATAAAGGAAACCTCAGAAAGAATATATTTATCATGAAAAAATCATTTAAAATTCACTTTTGTAAATAATAATTGGATATCTAGTTGGATATGTGAATTAAATAGTTTCAGATACCCTTTTAAGTTAAGAGAGACAGTGGTGAAGACAGACAATTCCCTGGTTCTTCAAGCATTTGCGGGTTAGGAAAATGAGGAATGTCCAAGTAAAGACCCTCAAAGAAGGATTCAACCACTTGGTAGTATATATGAAAATGTGACAGCTACTGATCACACATTGTGTCACATGAAACAACTCCTGTTTTATCTAGTTCAATTACCCCTACATTTTCCTCTAATGCATGTTGAGGCCTTAACTTCACTACTACATAATGTGATTTTTTTTGTGAGTAGGTTCTTTGCAGAGGTCTCAAGAAGTTAAAATAAGCTTATTAGGGTGGTCATCATTCCAATAGGATTGATGTCCTATGAGAAAGGAAATTTTGGATGTAGGGAGGACAACACGTGAACACAAAACTGGTATCTGTGAGCCAAGGAGAAAGGCCTGAGACAGTGCTTTTCCTCAATATCTTCTGAAGGAACCAATACAGCACAGGTCTTGAGTTTGAGTTTATAGCATGTCAAACTCTGAAACAACAGATTTCTGTTAACGAGTTTGTGGTGTTTTATTACAGCAGCTCTAACAAGAGAACATGGATTTTGCTACTGAGAAGCGGGGTGCAGCTATAAAAATACCTCAAAGAGTGGAAGTAGCTCTGAGATGGGTTATGGGTAGATGGATGGGGAAGAGTTGTGATTCATGATAGGAAGAGCCTCTGTGAAGAGACTGTGGGTGCAACTATGAACATCAAAAGGTGGTTCAGGTGAGGGATCTGAAAGAGAAAAGGAGAACAGCACAGAAAGCCTCTCTTGTGCTAGAGAGAACACACACATCATCACGAACAGAATCCTCCTAGAAATATGAATGGCAAGGTATTTCTGGTTGAGGTGTCCAGGGGATAAGAGATGATTGGAAAGTGGAGGAAAAGCTGTCATTGTTAATGATTTACAGTCATAGAACTAGAAATGAATATACTGACTTTTGGTCTATCATTTTACACTTTATTTTAGCCACTATGAATATAAAAAAATGACCTTAAGTGAATCTCTGGCATTACACCTTTGTGACATCATGTGTGGTGCATTTTCTCATGAAATTCATTTTTCATTCCTTTTTGTTATTTTCTACCTCCTTTAATTGCATAAAGTATGGCTTCCTGTGAGAAGTCTTGCCATAATCCAGTTGCTTTATCAATTGCAGCACAGTGAACTGGTATCATGACATAAATAATTCACTTATTATGGCAACTATCATGTTTTACTTTAAATCTTGATCCCATCACTACATATGGAATCACTTGGGGAAAGAAATGCTATCTTACTTCACTGTGCCTGATATGTGCAACAGATAGCCTGCCACAAGTTGATGCTTCTCATACATATTTTAGAGGATGAATGAATGAAGATTGAGATTATAATACTTCTAAGGATTTTCTTCATTTTTTTGTAGGTGAACTGCTTTAATATCTGGAATCAGCACCAACAAAAGACTAGGTGGAACATAGGAACAATGTAACTTATTTTGTCCTCTTGGGCCTCACACAAAATCCAAAGATGCAGAGAGTACTTTTTGTTACATTTTTGCTTTTCTATATCTTGACCATGGTGGGAAATCTGCTCATTGTGATGACCATAATCTTCAGCAAGACCCTGGGCTCACCAATGTACTTCTTTCTTGCTAGCTTATCTTTTATGGATGCAATTTATTCTACAGTTATTTCCCCCCAAATGATTTCCCACTTGTTCTTTAGGGAAAATATCATATCCTTCAAGAATTGTATGACCCAGCTTTTTACAGGACACTTTTTTGCTGGGGCAGAGGTCTTTCTTCTGTTGGTGATGGCCTATGACCGCTATGTGGCCATCTGTAAGCCCCTGCACTATTTGATTATCATGAGGCCATGGGTATGTGTTGTGCTGCTGGTAGTTTCCTGGGTTGGAGGTTTTTTGCACTCAGTAATCCAGTTGGGCACTATTTATGGGCTCCCATTCTGTGGCCCCAATGTCATTGATCATTTCATATGTGACATGTACCCCTTACTGAAACTCGTCTGTGTTGACACTTATGTCATTGGCCTCTTAGTGATGGCCAATGGGGGACTCATCTGCACAACTGTGTTTCTGCTCTTACTTGTGTCTTATGCTGTCATCTTCCACTCTCTGAAGAACCTGAGTCTGGAGGGGAGGCGGAAAGCTCTCTCCACCTGTGGTTCCCACATCACTGTGGTTGTCTTCTTTTTTGTCCCCTGTATTTTCATATATGCATGACCAGCCAAGACTTTGCCCATTGACAAGTTATTGAGTGTGTTTTACCTGGTCATAACCCCCATGCTGAACCCCTTCATCTACACTCTGAGAAACTCAGAGATGACAAATGCTATGAAGAAACTCTGGGGAGGAAAAGTCATATCATGTAGTAAATGAGTGAGTTTCCCGCTCTAAGGAGAGTCATTTTACCATAAAACTATCTTCTTAGGAAGCATAACATTTGTGAAGCTGATGTTAACTTCCTTTCCCTCCAAATTTCTGGTAAATACAATTAAGAAATTGAATATGTGCTTCTACCACTAATAGTTTCACTGATGTAATGTAGACTTTATAATGTCTTGTTGATCACTACTGGACAGTTCTAATGCACATGTAATACATTGTCTATGACAATATGTAGTAAATTAATGAATAAAATTTTGGAATGATTGCACTGATGTCATTTAATTTTTGCATTTATTTGTATTCCTCACTTTGCTATTCCTTATCTTATTTTTAGACTTCCTGTTATATCGATTCTTTTTATTATGTTTTAATATTTAAATGCAATATAAACTTACGTTCATTTATTTTCAGTAGCGTATGTAAATTTTAGTACTCTAAATTTACCTGGTAAAGTAAAAAATGGAATGGTTCACAGTAACATTAAAAGTAGAACCCTGACAACATGATAAATTGTAGAAATCTACTATCTCTCATCAGAATCTCTCAGTGCTAAGTCTCAGATGCAGGTAGTAAATTGTTTTTCTGTTTCTTCAAATAAGGGGTCTTATCATTTGTGACAACTGGGGTGACACTGGAGGACATTATGCTAAGTGATATAGGCTGGACATAGAAAGACAAATACTGCATGATATCATTTACATATAGAATTAAAAGTAGGCACAGTCCTGGGACAGAGAGAAGGATATTGGTTGTCACAGGCTGGAAGGTGAGAGGATAGTGATGTTTTTCAAAAAGTGCAAAGTTTATTATGATAGAAAATGTCTTGTTGGGCTGGGGATGTGGCTCAAGAAGTAACGCGCTTGCCTGGCATGCACAGGGCACTGGGTTCGATCCTCAGCACCACATAAAAAATAAATAAATAAATAGAATAAAAATGTTGTGTCTACTGAAAACTAAAAAATAAATATTAAAAAAGAAAATGTCTTGTTATAGATGTTATTTCTGCTGTATTATTAATTGTAGTTACCATGCACTATGATATGATAGCTAATAACACTAATTATATACTTGATATTTGATAAGAGGGTAGATATGTGTTCACAAAACTATCACATAACTACAATGCACTAATGAAGACATTAAGAAAAAGATGTTAAAAGAAATCATTCAAACGATGGAAAATGATACCATATGGGAATATGATTTTATAAACCAAAAAGAGATCATCAGAAAGAATTAGCACATGAGCAAACATGAATTTTTCTATTGAAATATCTTTAAAATATAATTATTAAAATAATATTTATGTAAATTTGTTATGAAATTGTAACCCAATCCTCCAAACTAAAATAAGTAATGTTTAATAAGTTAACAATGAAAATAAAAAGACATAAATAATCCAAAAGAAATATGAGAAAAGAAAATAATAATGAAAATACAGAACTCATAAAATGATTATATGTTTAAAATTAACTATGGCTATAGTTACATCAATGTAAATGGTTTAAATATTGCATTAAAATGCAGAGAGAGATCACAGTCTCTGTAAGAAAACTAAGACTCCTTTGTATGTTGCCTCCATAAACACACACCTTTATGCATAAAGTAAGGTAGATTAAAAGTTTGGTAATTTCCAATTTCCTGGGGAATCACTCATTTAATCCAGATTATAATTTATTTTATTTAATCCAGGTTCCAAAACTTTTTAGAGTTGGTAAAATTCCCAACTTTTTTTAAAAGAACTTTCTTTGTATTCTTTGTGTCATTCCTAATTTTGAAATCTGTGCCTCCTTTGATTTTTTGTGTGATTAGAATAGAGAGTGTTTTATTCATTTACTCATATTGTTCTTATTTTTATCCAATCAAGTAGATCTTAGATTGCTATATTTTGAATACAGAGTGATCCCCATGTGTTCATTTGTTAAAGACTTGGTCCTCAGCAGGGTGTTAATAGAAGGTGGTTGAAACTTTTAGAGGTGAGACCTAGTGGGAGGTTTTCCATCACTGGGAGGCAGATTCTAAAACAGGATTGTGGAACCTGATATCCTACTTTCTATTCTTTTGTTTTCTTGAGAGGAGGTGAAGTGTTTGCTTCACCATGAGTGCTCACCATGATATGCTGCCTCCCCACAGGCCCAAAGCCAAGGGCCACTTAATCATGGCTTGAAACCTCAAAGCTGTGAGTCAAATTGAAATTTTTCTCTTATTAAGTTGGTGTAACTTAGGTATTTGTTACAGTAATGTAAAACAGACTAAGAAACATAATAGCTCAAATTATTTTTTCTAATGTAGAAAACCTCTTCTATCTTCACTAGGTGCTTGAACCTACTTTTGCTTAGGGTAATTTTCTGGTTTTCTAACATTCTTAGTTGAAAGGATGTTTAATCTTTTATTGAATTTTAAACAATACGAACTCTAAGATGTTAAGTTTTCCTCAGAGCACTGAGCTAATACCCTACTGTATTAAATAGTATTTTCACTTAAATCATGTTACATATTTTGGGTTTTAATTTCTACCACTTTTTTTACTGAAGAACTTTTAAAAATAGGACTTTGAATAGTAGCAATTAGAATGTAATAATTGGTTTATACCAGCAATCTCATTCATTTCTAGATTTATTGAAAAGCATTCAAGCATGATTAAATACTCTCATGATAAAAACAAACTAAAAATCATATTTTACACTATTATGTGTGTGATAGATGTTGTGTGAGTATCTTATACATTATGATGTATTATCAAAACTTTTAAGCTGACTTCTGTATTTTCATAATCTCATTGTAATGTAAGTGTTTAGTTTCAATAAAGCATTTAGACTGATGGCTCTGGAGCTTGGAGAAAGACTAAGGAATTTGTAGAGATTCTGAGGAAGGTGTGGACCTCCACAGCTATCCTTGCAGGAGGAGAGAGCAAAGTCCTTTCTTCCAGTATTAGGACAGTCCTGAGTGGCAGAACTACCCAAAAGGACCACCAGGGCTAAAAAGCTGGACCCTCCTCTCTGTCTCTAAACTATGACAGGTTCTTGCTCTCTCTGGGGAGAGGCAAAGAGCTTGCAAATGGAAGTTTCAGTGAATGAGCACCGAGACATGGTCCTTCTCATCCCTTCATCCAGCTGTTGTGAAAAGATGAGGCAGGGTCAAGAAAATGCTTAATCTAGCAGCCAAGAGAATGGACTTTGCTGCCCTCATTTGTGCTAGTCTTTAGTTTTATGCACCACTTTTCACCTCCATGTTACTACTTGTTTTCCTTTATTTCCTAGAGTTTCCATTCATTCCCTCCCTTCTGTTATTGGTCTAGAAGCAAACAATTCTGAACCTCAGTGCCTAGGAAGCTGACAACCCAGGTTGTCTTTGAGGTATTTAGTCACACCTAGTGCTAATGGAGCTGTCACAGACCATGCAGCTTTGCATTGTTTGCATTTTGTTTTCTTGAAAGGAGGTGAACTCTTTGCTTCTACCTTCTCTCTTCCTGGCAATCAGGGAGAGTTAATGCTCTGAACCTGCAACAAGGAGATGGGCCTGCTGCCATTTTGTGGAAGCTATTTAAGTTAGGACAGGACTCCACAGGAGCTTCCCAAGACCCTGATGGCATGAGATCTCTATTTGTGAGTCACGAATCTGTCTACTGTGTAAGTTTCTATACTTTGGCTGAGACATAATTTTGGTGTGAGTTCTGTTCTCTCCGAATGTTACAAGAGAGGTCAAATGATGTCAAGAAAAAAAAAAAGAATACCAGAGTTGGAGTTGGCTTCTGCCTTAGACTATCTGGAAGACTTTGGGTGAGTCACGAAAGGCCTCAGTTTCTCTGCTTACAAGTGTTATATTGGGGTGATGGTTGTGAAGTTCCTCTCACAGCCAGAAATTTCGTATGATCACTAAAATGCTTGAAATGTTTTAAAGTTCCTTCCCTTATTTTGTCTGGATATGCTGAGTGTGGTGGTCTAGTAGTTCCCAGGAATACCCTCCCTCTGGATCTGCCTGGACTACCCAGGGAGGAATGAAAGAAAGGGTGTGTGACCTACAAAAGTATAAATGTAATGACAGCCAACCATTTAGTAGAAAGGAGACTTGTCTTTACCCAGCTTAGTACAATAACTAGAAAAGGCGGTTTGCTATCTCCCCATCCCCAAGCCTATTCCTTTAGGCATGCAGGTAACTGTTCCTCCCCACCTCCCATTTCTTCTCATTCCACCAGGGAAGCCCGACTAAGGAACAACAAGAAGTCCTACAAAGGGGAGGTCTCACCAACCAACTGGCAGCCATTTGATGATGATAGGTATGTCTGACACTATAAAGGCTGTGTGCAGAAGAAGCCAACTCCACAGGAATTTGAGCTCCAATGCCAGGAGGCAGGAGGTACTGAGGGCAAATTCACTGCACCGACTCAATCTGAAAGACCCACTGGAGGATCTCCTGGTGGCACAGATCCTGCACAGCTTTGGGTTGTTGCTGTAGTGCTGTCACCCAACATGCAATCAGCTCACTGACTACACACAGCAGTAAAAGAGGCAGCAGCAGCTTCAACATAGCCCAGGGCCCAGTGTGTTCCCATAGGTGGCTTGAGGGGATGGGAGCTACACTTAGATTTGGGGGCCTGATTTGCTTCCTTCTTGGGTTTGTTCTCCTGCTCCACTTGAATCTTTGAGGGCATCACATTCTTTTCACTGATACTCCTTCTCTTCTGCCTTGTCCAGCTTCTGCAGTTCCTGCTCCTGAGCTTCCTTAGCTCGCTGTTTGGCCTCCAACCTCTTCTCTGCCTCTCCTTCCACTTCCAGCAACCTCTGCCTCTCTGGCTCCTGATCCACCTGCACAGTCTTTATGTACTGTAGCACCTT